GCCGATCACCACACCAACTAGCGGCATACCGTTTAACTTCGAATCGTTGATGGAGGGCGGCACCGGTCTTACGCCTGTTTCCACGCCTCTGATACCTTCCTGCTCAACGCAACAGAGAAACAACGTTTCCGCCGTCGATCTCAGTTCTCCGGATGCAAATTCACCGAAGCTGGTGAGTTTGTGACGCCAAGACGACCTCGAGTACGGATCAAATGAGGATGATCCCGAATGAGATGTCGCCATATTTGATATGAACAATTTGATATAAAAATTGTGTACAGAGGACGAGGACCATGACCGCCGCGATGAACGAGGAGAGAAGATGGGCTTGTTGAATTCTTTTTTCGAAATACAACGCATTACCAGAGAGAGAATTTTGCCATACGGTTGTCATTGAAATCATGTATCGTTGGACAGTATTAATTTGGGACGGAAACAGAAGTATCCTCTTAAAGTATCCGAATTTGTCACTTCCATTGTTTTATTGATCGACAACGATCGGCGGAGTAATACGCGTTCGATTGCATTTTTCCAACTGGAGTTGGAAGAGAAATTTTCTATTCACATGCGAAGAAACGGTTTAATAATAAAAATCGATATGACGGCACCGCTCGTTATATATGTACTATCCGATTGTATAGAGACGTCCCAAGTTACCGTTCTTGTGAGATTTTGGTAACTTTTTCGATGACAATTTTCTGCAAGAACCATACATCGAGAAAATTCAGTATTTGCGTTTCTGTCATGGATTTACGCGTCGTAAAATAAGCTTGTCGAACATATTTGCATCTCTATGCGAAGTAACTTTGGTAAATTCATCTTTGAGGCTAATAAAAAGGAAAGAAACTAAGGAAAGTAGAATTTTTCTTATCACTAACGCGCGCTTTAGGGACGTAATTTTGCGTAGACGTTCGAAAAAAGAAGCAAAGTATTTTTTTGCATCATTTAATAAATAATCGTAGGCATGCGAGATGCCTACATATGCAAGTGATATATAATATAATATATATATAATTGTATTTAACTCGTGCGAACGTTTTTACGCAAACAAATTAGAATTATGTGAACCAAGCATATTAAGATTGCCACGGTTTCTTTTTCTTTTTTGTAAGAGAAGTCGCCGTAGTTAATGAATTAATTTTTTACGTAACGTCGGCCGAGAAGAAAACCGTATTTAGAAGTTTAAGACGATCGATTTTAGCGCTCAAAACCATTTCGTAGATTAAGGAGGACGCATATAGGACGACAATTTTTGAATCGTGCCTGATTTTCAGTCATGCGTGTATCACGCGATTCTAAGGTGACAAACCTCTGCGGCTCGACAACGACAAAATATATACATACATATATATTTTTTATTGAAAACTCGGAGAATGTTATTTTCCTCGCATTCCCGGGAAACGAGAATTACGTCGAAGCCGCGTTTGGTACGCGTATGAACGGAAGTGGAAGATTTTTACGTGCAACTGGCGTGTTTGCAAGTCTCTCACCCTATAACATGTAATCCCTCCATACATATAATATATATACATACATATATTTTACTATGTATGACATTTTTGCATGATCTTTAAGCAATATTAATATATTTATACGCGGCTGCTGCTTGCGAGGTTGGCCGGTATTTTTCGATAAGACTTTCTTCTTTCTGTTACATTTGCCTTTTTTATCATTGTATACGTACGTATAGATTCTTAAAGAAAGAAATCGTTTTACGAGCTGTTCGATCTCAGCCACGTAATCGGCGGCCGCGATCGACGATCGTAAATAAGAAAAAAGGATTGTAACGCACCATCGATAAATGCTGCAATATATTTTGATTAGATCGAACGAATAAAGGAACAAGCGAGTATGTAATTTTGTCCATGAATAATAACGATGTGTTTTAATTTTGTGTATAATATTGGTTACTTTACTTACACGTAAGACTACGTGAATGAAAAATCCGTAGTGGAACCTTATAAATTTACGTATAAATTCTCAAATAATATAGAAATAATTCTCATAACGACCGAATTTTCTATCTTTGTACAATTAAATTACTAGTTTCCTAAGGTATAACATTTGTTAAATATTTAGTACAAATAATATCACGTCCTATGAATTTACAGAGGATTTCTTTTTTTACATTTAATGTTCTTTTAGTTGATGCCTGTAATGTTTTTAATCGCTATTGCTTCATTGATTGGATCAAGTGGTTCGTAGTGGTCGAATTCCGACGAAAAGCTTGCATGACCGGATGAAATTATCCTCACTGCTCTTGAGTATCCTAAGAGTTCAGCCAATGGTACAAGACAGTGGACGATCTGTTTTCATTATTCATAAATAAGTTACATCATTTCTATATTGACGTATTATTGTTTGAAAAGGAAAAAACCGTGCTACCTTACCTTGTTCTGTCTGATAACATCAATGAATTTTACTTCTGCTCGCCTTCTTGACAAGTCCTTTAGAACTGCGCTTAAATATTCTTCAGGCACCATAACCTCCACGTTCATTATGGGTTCCAGAAGTGTAATGCCAACATCCTTCATTAACTAAAATATATAGAATAAATAACACTTTAGTAAGTACTTAACAGATTGTTTTTGAAAAACAAAAAGACTGAGTGATTAAAAAATTTCAGGAAAATTTAGGAAGATATCTTAAAAAGAAATCTAAGGAAATTAAAGGACAGAGGGTAAACCAAAGAGTGTGAGAAAATGAAAAGACTTAGCGCGATTCAAAAATCAAGATTATTTGGAACTTTGGGAAGTTCTATCAAGGAATCAAATTCTACCCTTTTGAGATAACTCGATTGAGGTTACCGCATCGTCAATTCTCCTATCATGTCACATAAATATTCGTAACTTCAGCGCTATACGATTCACATAACTTATGTACCTAGTTTGCTTTAATGAAATTTTTTACCACGTTATTGCATTTGTATTGCAGTCTTTCGTTATTAAATTGATTTATTAATAAAAGTTATAGTTCATAATTTATATATATATTTTTTTAGAGTATTAAACCTATGTTTTTCACTTTCTAACTTCCTAAGGAATTCCACCTATGGTAATTATTGTTTCTGTTGATACTAGATGAGTACATAATAGAAAATGGTTGTTTTCTTGATCAACCGTATCGATTTTAAAAAAAACGTGGCGCCGAATGAACAGTTACTAAACTGAAGCCTGTCACAAGAAAACAAATGAACGGAACAATGTAAATCCTAAAGTATAAATTTGCATAAATGCTTCCAATTTTCTAGAAATAATTTCGGAATTTCATGGTTGCTGGATATGTGTCTCTCTTGTATAGTATTAGCGACAAGCCCTTAGAGTATTGGAGCAAACAACATTCACAGTCGGGTCGTATTCGTAAAATCTTGGATTCCGATTTGTTGGAAAATGTAGGTTAATTTGCACGATTATTATATGCATTTAATCAATCATGGCGAATTTTAAATTAATTTTATCGTAAATGATGAACAGGTTATCGAGATACAGGACTTCGAGCAACCCCATGGTTATGGCACTTCCATCCTTTGTCCCTCTGACTCCTCTCAATTCCTCGATATCAAATTACCAATCTTAGTTGTGGTTATAAAGAACCTAAATCTACAGTGTCGTTTGCAAGTACAGGTAATTGTAAAATATTCGAAAAATAATCTCGTATTGAAGGCAAGTTTCTTGTTTTCAAATTATTAATCATGACAATGTTTTTTCGAAATTGAGTCACCAACTTTTTTCGACTTTATCATTTCCTTTCTAATATTAATTTACGTTTAAGGTAAAATAAAAAATTATCCAAACATTGAAGAAATTACTTTCTTTAGAGAGGTTAATTATTACTGTGAAACTTGTACATCCAGGTAGCCGATGTCCAAAATGGTCTGCATCATTTTCAATTCACCAACGAGGAGTCAGAGAGACCAAACTCTAAGGGTGTAATTTGTCGCGTGACGCTGAAGCTAGAAACCGGATGGAATAAATTAGAATTGAACTTATCGAGCCTAACGCAAACTGCCTTTAAACAGCAATACGGCGCCACGCAAAGACTTCAAATATGTGGCAACTGTCGCTTGCGTAGAGTATACTTTATAGACAAGCACTACAAAGATACAGATATTTGTCCCAAATTCTTTCACAAGTTCCTCGATTCTTACATGCTGAAGTGGGGTATTCGTACCGTAGAAAGATCCACACAAACAAGTTTGAAAAGAAACAAGAGTAGAATCAGAGGCACTAATAACTTGAAGTTCTCGAAACCCTACAGTGCTGACAACTTAAGCGGCGGGGAAAATAGTCACGGTAACCGTGAAGATTCTGCCGCACAGAAAACTGATGATAATTTTTTGAGAAATTTACAAATCAAGACAGACATATTGATCAATGAATTTTTCGACAGACAGTCAAACAAGTGTCCACATATATCAGAATTAAAACAAAACACTAGGTTAAAGCCCTATGCTTTCCCAACGGTGATCCAAAAACCCAAATCTTTCAGTATTGGTGGCGTTTCTGAAACAATGGTTCTGGCACTGAAACAAGTCGGTGTCCTTCGAACATTTACGGAGACTTATATATGCAGTGAGGACAAGCGTAAAGAGAATAATGCTATTAAGACTATACAGGATAATTGGAAGCACAGATACTTCTTTCCTCAGGAAGAATCGTTAAATAATAACGATTTATCGAAACAGGTTGTGAAGAGAACAATGTTGGATCGTAAACCGAAATCTCTGCTTGTTTTATCCGAACTGAAGTGTGGAAAGGAAAAGAGTTTGGGATCGCTGAAAATGGATGTTGAGAATACTAAACGTAACGAAAGCGATACAATTATCAAATAATTAATAATTCGCAGGAAACTGATGCAGATAACTCTAATAAGATTAACATATCATTTCCTCTGTATATTTATTGGCACTTTCAGTAGTTAGATTTAAAGATGGCCTACTAGAGGTTTTACTTTATCTCTCCTATTATATACCCTCTCTGTTCAAAGATTAGGCAGTTATACCTTATAAATATATGTAAGCAAGAAAGGAAGAAACAAATGAGAATAATAAAGGAAATACCACAAAAATAATCTTACCTGCCTAATACACTGTGAAACAGCCGCAGTGATCGATATACTTGTACTTGATTCAAGTTGTATACTATGCAATTTAATGCCCACATTCAAGACTGGATAACCTAATTTTGGTCCATGTGAAAAAACTGCTTTAATAGCTTTTCGCACTATTTTCAGTGTATTTTCCGATATATGATTTACATTGTCGTGATATTTTGAAGAGTTATCTAATTGTAATATATTTTTTTCTTCATAATTTGGTATTAATGACATGGTGATGGTAACTTTTGAAATGTTATTTCCAATCTTGTGTTCGTACGAATAAGTGTTTTGAATAGGTTCGTTTATAGTTTCTCTATAGGAAATTTGTAGAGGGCCCAAATCAGCATCAATCTTGTACTCATTTCTAATTCTTTCTTTAATAATTTCGAGATGCAATTCGCCCATGCCTCCAAGTTCAATCTGACCAGTTTCTTCATTCTGAGTAACTCTTAAACTTGGGTCTTCTTTTACGAGTTGTTCAAGAGCTTTGTCCAAAGCAGATTGCATAGATAACGATGGCGCTTCTATCGAACAAAAGAAGACTGGTTCTAACGTTTGTAAATTGCAAGAAAATATTTTCTCTACGTCTTCCGAATTAACATCACTTTGTGCCTTTAGATTTCTTTTTACTTCTTTTAACGTTGTTAAATTGGATGTTATTAAGTCACCGGACATTGTACTTTTTAATCCGGTTATTGCAGCAATATTACCATTTGTAATTTTTGGTATTTCCTGGTAGTCGTCAGCGAATGCAATATACGATTTCCCTATTACTTCTTTTTCTGCACTGCGAACGTTATATATTTTTTTGCCTTTCTTTATGCTACCGTTGTAAATTCTGAAAAACGTAATTAGTCCTTTCTGTTTATCGTGAACGACTTTAAATGCTCTGGCGCATACATGTTCGTTAAAGCAACCATAAAATCGAGAAAATTTATTTTCAATGGGAGATGGTAAATATAAGATAACACTATCCATTAAGGGTTGTACTCCTATATTTTTATAAGAACTACCTAAGAGCACAGGCACACCTTTTCTACTTATGGTTGACTTCTGCAAGGAATTAACCAACATTTGTGGAGTTATCGCATCAAAAGATTCTTGCTCTATAATTATGTCAGCCAATTTGTCATCCATACCAGACAATTTATCAATTAAATTTCTACGTTTTTCATTAGCCTGTTCCCATATGCCTTTATCCTCATTTTCAGATAATTTCAATCTGGAAAATATCATGCCCTTATCTCCTTTATCAAAAATCATTTTCTCTAAGGAAATAACATCCACGATTCCTTTTAAAATCCCTTCTTCTTTAATAGGAAATTGTGTAGGTAACACTTCTATATTCAACTTTGATTCAATAGATTTTAAGCTAGTGTCAAAATTAGCATCTGGCCTATCCATTTTATTCACATAAATAATTCTAGGTATGTCATATTTGTCAGCTTGCCTGCAAACTGTCAATGTTTGAGCCTCAACACCTGCACTACCATCCAATATAACTACTGCTCCATCTAATACCCTCAGGGTTTGTTCTACTTCCATAGTAAAATCAATGTGTCCTGGAGTATCGATTAAATTAATACGATAGTTTTTCCATTCAAATGTTACCGCTGCGGAGGTAATAGTTATACCGCGCTGTCTTTCTTGATCCATGTAATCTGTTACCGTGTTTCCATGATGTACTTCTCCCATATGCTTGATAAGACCAGAGTAGTAAAGCATTCTTTCTGTGGTAGTGGTTTTTCCTAAAAGATCATTATGAAATTATGAACTTATGAAATAAAAAGTTTGTATAGGTTATCGATAAGAATTGTATTGTAAACAAACCAGCATCGATGTGTGCCAAAATTCCAATATTTCTAATTTTTGTAATGTCTTGTTCTTCATTTTCTTCTTTTACATTTATTGTACGTATTGAAGCATATGTTCTTTGACATTTACACCATGGACTTTTTATTAATCGAGATATAAACATGACTCCTAACCTATCCGTTCGTATACATGCAAAATTAACATGCCGGTCACACGTTACACAATGTGCAGACGTTATTCTTTATAAAGTTCAGGATTCATTTGAATGACTTATTTAAAAAAGAATACTGTACTTAACATTTAATTGAATTATTTATTGTATTCTTTACTGATTATTACATATATCTGGTTTTAATAGTAGTTTCATCAAAATAGGTATTGAATTTTTTCCATTTTCTTCTTCTTAATGGATGAAGTAACCCACCTTCAGGAGCTCTTCTTTGCATTAATCCTAAACAATTATTTTATTACATTTATTCTTACCATTGCAGTTAGTATATCATTATAATTAATCTATTAACCTGCACTTTGAGCCATTATGATTAATGAACTAATTCTTTTCTGTTGTACTGCGCAAAGACCTGTAATCCTACGTGGTAATATACAACCATCTGATCGAACAAATTGATTTAGGATAAGAACATCCTAAAGAAACAGTTTAATTACTCCAAGATAGAAAAAATCAAATTAGAAAATATTAATAAAATATGAAATCCTTACTGTATGTTTAATATCAAGACCAGAAGAGCAAATGGAGCATGCTCCGTTTTTAGGTTTTAAGAATAATTCTGCATGTTTGTCGGGTTCTATTACGCCTTCGATAGTTAAAGTTTTTCCCTCTTTTTTCGTAATGACTATGAAGTAAATTGAAAAATATAGGTTACAAAAATCAAATCAAACACTATGTAATGTTATACTTTAATTAGTACTTATATGTAATAATACTCACATTTTTTAATGTATGTTATTGCAGATAACGATATATTCCTATTCTGTTCTATTGATAATATATTTTTTCGTAAGGAATTCATGAGACAAAACAATGCAGCCATTGCATCGATATTTGAAAAGTTAATCTCTAATTATACGCTATTATACAAAATAAAAAGTATATCTCACTATACATAACAATTATTATCTGATTAACATTATTGTAAATTAATAACCGTGTTATAAAGTTATTTGGGTATCGCCCATTATTATTCAATCATTACGTATAGTTCGCTACATTGGATAAGAAATCTATCAGTACATATTATAAGAGTGTGATGTGAACCATTTTTTACGCCTTTCAGAAAAATATTTTTTCTTAATATTACTATTATTATTTTTACTATTATCATTACAATTATACAATTTACAAGTAAAATTGTAAATTTTTAGAAAGAAATATAAATTTATTCATCTGCCGCAAATTGAAGAATCTTATTGGTCCATTCTTCTGTATCGTTTGCGAGAATGTCAGACGACGTGGCCGTTGAAACATGGAAGCCATATCATATAGCTTAAATTTTTACTAGTCTTTCATTAAATTGTTGTTATTTATTTAAATTTATAAACACATTTTATTGGAACCATGGGATTATGTAAGTGTCCCAAAAGAAGAGTTACAAACCTGTTTTGTTTTGAACATCGTGTCAATGTTTGTGAACATTGTATGGTTACAAATCATCAAAAGGTATTGTATTATTCACAAAATTGCAAAAAATTTATTTGAACAAAGGGAATCAAACTAATAAACAAATAAACAAATTTGATTATTGCTTGTGTTAAATCAATTCAGTTCTTCAGTTTTTTTTTTTTACATATTGAGATGTTTATATCTTTTTCAGTGTATTGTTCAGTCGTATATTTTGTGGCTTCATGATCATGACTATAATCCAATTTGTGCATTATGCTCAGTAAATTTAAAAGAAGGAGATTGTGTTCGACTAACATGTTATCACATGTTTCATTGGGCATGTTTGGATAAATATGCCAGAGAATTACCACCATCCACAGCACCAGCAGGATATATATGCCCAACTTGTAAGGAATGCATATTTCCCAAATCAAAGTTGGTATCCCCAGTAGCAGATGTATTGAGAGAAGTATTAGCAGGTGTAAATTGGGCACGAGCTGGTTTAGGTCTACCTTTGGTATGTATTATAACTATTTGTATATAATACAATACAATAAATTAATATATTAAAAATTATCTTTTGCAGCTCAGCAAAGATAGAGAACAAAAACCAAAACAAGAGCAACCTTCGTTGAAAATTGAAACATATCAAAACCATACATTAACATCTTCACCGCCATCAACAGCTACATCACGTTCTGTTAGCAATGTTAATTCAGTTCATACTAATATAAATAATGTGCATTTAAATAATCAAAAGGTTGGACCACCCTATTCAATTGTAAATATGGATTCACCTATGGGATTATCGCAGCCAACTTCAAGGAAAGTCTGTGAAGCTTATGATGATCCGAAGGAAATGTCATTTGATCACGATGAGAATAAATATAGGAGAAAATCTGCCATTGAATGGTTCCTAAGGTGGTGGAAGCTAATAGCTAGTCCTCCAACACGACGTAGAAATGCACCTGGTCCGCTGTATAAGAGATACGCAGTATTGGGTATCATGGGAATATTAACTTTCATTGGAATGTTAATTCTGTTTTCATGGCTTGGAAGAATGGCTACAGATGGTGATCCAAGTTACGATATTGGTGCGAATCCTAATGTTTTAGTCGGTGATAAGTTTACTGGTATTTAATACACTCTGGCTTTCAAAGCAAAGTTTGAAAGAAACTGAGAGTATAACATAAACGAAACGTATAATATGTGTGAAAGTAATAATTGAAGCTTGTAAAATAACGGAATAGTTATCGACTGTAGTCGAACGAATATGTATTCACTGTTTTATGATTTCATTCTAAGAGAATAATTAGCTTAAGGTACAGTGTATTGCTAGCCTTAATATTTGTTAATTTTTATGTAAAGTATGCCTTAATATTAAGCTGTATATTTAAATCTGTAAAGACTCATAAATTTACAAGAAGTTTTGTGAAATGATTATACAAACCATTAGTTTTTTATACAGTCATGAGCAAAAATTAAATGAAAGAAAAGTGCTGCCAATTTCGTTGCCTCGAATAGGAATGAACTGCGTACGGAAAAGATTTTATAATTGTGATAGCAATTTTAATTAGAAATGCAATATTTTGTTGTTTATGATATCATATTTATTTTAACAGCATCATAATTTGTTTAATGTGTCAAACTTGTAATTTCAATTTTAATATTTTCAATTCTGATAAAGAAAAAAGGAAAAAATGTATACATTAAAAAAAAAAATCGTTTAAGTTGTTCTTAGTAATATATTTATCATAGAAAGGAAATGTAGAATTGTGTTAGAATCAGTTTAGAAAATTCACCGTATTTTATTTACTCGCACGTGACGTAGTGTGCTTACAATTCAAACAAGCGTCTTGCATCAGATTCGAGAAGTATCTGTTCATGAAATATTAAAACCTCTTAACAAATCAAACTGATACAATGAATCAATTTTATGTTAAAAGAAAGTAGTCCATAAAAGAAAAAAACAGACTTTCACTTTTGTAATAAATAGAATTAATATATTATTGCTTAAGTAATTGTTAAATTTTAATCAGCTTAGAAATAGCACAAATTTTGTACGTTCCCGTGTAAATTTTAATAGGAATCATTATAAGCCATACTAGAAGAGTGGGGACATTTGACTCTTTTTCTTTTCACGTTCCATAGCAGCCATTTGCGGTCAAGACGAGAGTACCATCGTTTCGTTTCATGTGCTTATTTTTGTTCGATATTCCGATACTTGTTGCTCATGCGTAGTGACCAAGTGATCCCATGGTGTTTTCCAAATTGTGAATTAATAGATTAATTATAACTTTGTATTATTTGTAATCTTTATTACTTTTTCTATAAAGATTTTTAATATTTGATAAAACGCAGAAAATCTTTCAATAAACGAGTTAGAAAAACAATTTTATTTTTGCGGTGAATTACCAAGACTTATAGCGCGTAATAATTTAAAAATGAAATTATTAAAATACATCAAAAAGTACTCTACAATATTGGTAGTTGATTTAACGACTTCGATTGGTCTTGTTTACTTATGGAACAAAGGATACAAATTCTTGATACCAACGGCGTCTGTATGTGCTATCGGTAAGAACGTATAACTCTTAAGATTCAATTAATTACTTTTTATTAATAAATTATAAATTTTTCATAAAAAATAAAAATAAAAAAAGGTGTTTTTCATATCATAATATGAAATGAATATCATAACGAGATTAATAGCACTCTTGAAGTATGAATATCACGCGTTCATTTAATATCTCTTTATCTACTTACCGGTAGACTGCGTCCAGCCAGAAGCGTAATCAGCGTGAAAGTCGCTGATTCAGAGTAATCGCGACGCGCTGTTATTTAGTCATTAAATGTATTTAAATTACAAACTACAAATTTCATATACATGTAACATTTGAATAAAGAATATAACACTCTCCGTGAATTTAATGTTAATCTAGACTATTAAATTTTGAAAAAAAAAAAAACTGAACTATCTTTCAGGTGCTACATACTTATATCACTGCACAAAATCTCGGGATAAAATATCTCCAAATCATGCCATTGTCGTAACTGGCTGTGATTCGGGATTAGGATACAGTCTGGCTCTGCATTGCCGGCAGCTTGGATCGACTGTAATTGCTAGTGTATTACAGATCGATGGTCCTAGAGCTAAACAACTAGAAAATGAAGGGATTCTCGTTTACCCTTTGGACGTTACGAAAATTCAAAGCGTCAAAAATTTTACAAATTTCGTACGAATGACTTTGACACAAAAGAATTTAGGTAAATTATTTTCTTTTCGTTCAAAAATATATTATTATACCAATATAAAAAATCATACTGACATAAAATAGACGATACCTAATCCTAAATGGGTATCCATCAAGAGTAAAAAATATGTTTGAATATCGAAGATTGATTTTAAAAAAAGACAGAAGGAACGATCATACGATATAATACCGGTTTCAGTGTTACGATGCTTGATCAATAATGCGGCGATGATGATCTTCGGCGAATTCGAATGGCAAACAGACGAGCAGCTGAGGAATCAAGTGGAGGTGAACTTCCTGGGCACCATGAGAATCACTCGGGAATTGATGCCGATGATCCGTGCCTACTTTAGCCGGATTATCGTAATCTCGAGCCACTGTAACATCCAACCGATTCCTGGTGTAGCAGCTTATAGTGGAACTAAGGCTGCTCTTAATGCCTGGGCCACCGCCATTAGGATGGAATTGAAGAAATATGGCATCAAGGTCGTTTGCTTTATTCCTGGTCTGTAGTTAAAGGATAATTTATTGGAATTAAATTACAAAATTGTTTAATAGGAACAGAATAATTTTAACGCACAAAATACTTTTTTCATTTTTTATTCTGTTCTTTACCGATAATAACTTCTTTATCAATCTAAGATAGCGAAAGAAGTTATTTTCTTTCATGATATTTTGAATAATCAAGTATTCTACTTTCGTGAAGTTTTATGTAATAAGAAAGAATGGAAAATAACTGCTTACCTCGCATGTTCATACAGGTTCATTTGTCAGAGAGAGTAACATATTAGCACGACAAGCTGAACACTTTCAGGCGATGAAGAGGTCGATGTCCGCAGAAGCGAAAACCTTTTATGGTGACTACTTCGTTAGATATTCGCAATATTTTGCGTCCGTGGCGCAGGGTGCGGGCTTGGAAAAGCTACAGGACTCGGGTATATACGATGTCTTCGAAGGTGCTCTTCTCGACAAATATCCATCGGCAATTTACAAGTATGTTTACTGTCTGCTAGTCAAAATGAAATTTTCATCGCGTCAAATCATTCTCTGAAACAATAAAAAAAATGACGTTTCTGTTATTTAATAAATGGATTAAAATTAAGAGCCTGGTATAGTAGTAATTATATTCAAAATCATTTTGCCCAAGATGTAACGTATATACGTTCTAATGACAAACGAATAAGGTGTACTAGATGAGTGTAAAGATCGTCGTAGACTGAATTCTTGCATGAGCATGAAATCACTACGAAAGCAACTTACGATATCTTGTTCGGTGATAATGATAACCATCTCCCAATAGTAATACATTTTTCATTAATGGCGCTAACACCTGCATTGACACACCTGGAACGGGATAAATGGAGGATGAAAAAACAATCTGAAACGTTTTTAATTAACGTCATGTTCTGTTATCATGTGCCTAATCCTTGTATATGTCAATTTAGGAATGAATCATGGCGATACCTAGTTTACCACGCCCTATTTTTGATCATGCCGACCTGTTTGCGTGATCGACTAGTCGAGAAATTCGTCCAAGGCCCATCATGGACAAAACCCAACATCAATGAGTCTTCGATAGTTAACAAGTGCCACGAAGTACAAGGAGGTGCTCTTGAATTATCTGATTTGGAAGATCAAGATGAAGATTTGGAGTGCTCTGCGAATAAAATGAAAATAACAGAAAAATATTGATGCTGATATCCAAGAGAGAGAAAATATTGTAATTGCATTACACTGAATAAATGATTTTGTTATTTGATTAACTTGCAATCTTGAACGATCACTTGCCTCTTTTGTTGTCCTGTCCTATAAATATAAAATAATAATTATATTTGGAAAAGATAATTTAAAAAATGTAGAATGTACTTGTTACCTTTTCTTATATACTTTGTATCTTTTTATATATTTTTTGTCTATCCCTTTGAATTTGAAATGCAAAGCTATAGGTCAAATAAAATACAGAATACATATCTTTAATTTAATTTATCTTCTGAATCTTGAGTGTTGTCCAATCAATTTTTCAATCGACACGTGTGAAAGGGGTGCACCTGAAGATAAAATAGTAATTACTTTTAACAGAGAATCAGTGAAACATGATTACAAAGTACATAAACGTAAATTTTCTGACCACCTGCAATGAAGTGATTAATCGTGATTATCAGGGAAAAGTAACAGATGATACTTCTTTGTTGAGTGAACGCAGATGTTCGTTCCATATCTTACGTACTAGTTTATCGATAACACGAGGTCCAGTTTTTTGGCAGATAGGTGTACACCTGAAGTGTTTTTAAAAGTTGACAGTGATAATTGTTTTTGATGTCTGATTAGATAATAACCACCAATAAATAGGTATCCACAGCCCAGTGATTTCCAGTTACTTTGAACCTTAAACGAGTAATACATCAAAATGGGCCTAATCACCTACGGTATGTATCATTACTTAATACCATTTTAAACTTCTGAAAATTCCAATTTACTTCAATATTATTCATACTTGAAGAATATTCTGTATACTATGCGTTGTCACTTTATTAAAAATGTAATGATAAATTATATTTATCTTAGAGTAATTTTAGAGAGTACTTAATGCATTAATAGCATACTAATATTCAAAGATGACAAACATGTGAAGATGAGTATTTCTTTTGTGAACATAATCGTCAAAAGATTAATCAATTCTCTTCCAGGATATGCTTATAATTCAGAAAGTATGTTCTCTCTTAACTTTAGTCTACGTCTTTGTGACTCTCTTCATTGCCAACTCGATGCAATTAACGTACTTGTCCTGCGATGGTCTACCAACTCCAACGAACGTGAAAATTCAAGGATGCGCCATTTTGCCCTGCAAGCTGCAGAGAGGAACATCTGTTGAGGCTAACATCGACTTCGACGTTCGTAAGTGTAGAAGCAAATTAAAACCGATAAACGTAAATAAAAAGAAAATATACAGAAAACATAAGTGTCTTAACTTTAAATCATTTATTTTGATTACCTCGTTAAAAAAATGTTGATGGGTTGGACAACATGGGCCGGATAGCCAAAAATATATGGTGAAAATAAAATAAAAATAATAATTTGCTAATAGTGATAAGAAAATATAATCTGTTGCAGTCGAAAATTCGAAATCATTGAGACCGGTAGTAGACATTGAGCTGGGAAATGTTCACATGGACTACCCATTCCCTGAACAGAACGCTTGCAAAAATCTGGCGACCGGACAATGCCCACTGGAAAAAGGAGAACCCGTAAGCTATTACTTGAAAATGCCCATTGAGAAGAGTTATCCCAGAATCAGTTTGACCATCCAATTCTCTCTGGTTGACGAACATAACAAGTCTCAAGTGTGCATCAGGATCCCAGCTAAAGTTGTCGATTAAATTGTTTAACTGACTATGATTGCAATCATTATTTGTTTTGTTGACATGACTATGATAAATCATTAATCGAAATATTATATATGACTTACAATTAAACGTGACTAATCAAACACCTGAATTTCTCACTTCTTTACCCCACTGGATGCAATGCGAAATTTTGTTGATTTTCTGCAGTGAGAAAGATCCATAAATGTTCCTCTAATTGCTGAAGCAAAGAAAAAGGAATCTTGCTCCTGAAAAAAAGGACGACGAGGAAATTTGATTTTAAAATGGAGAAGCTCCTAACGAGGGTCTTAAGTTAATTGCAACTTCATGGCGTTTGAAATTTATTTTACTTCTGGGGCCATTTCCGGAAGTTAGATGTAATCGAGTCTAGATAATGGTTGTAACAAGGAAAATTTTTCTGTGGAAAGTTCTCAAGTTTTCACGAATCTTTTATCATAAGTATTTGAACGAGTGACTGTCGAAATTCTTTAAAGTAGAAAATAAAATAGAAAATAAACGTTGCGTCAAAATTACACGTTACAAACATACGTTTACTGGAGAAAGGGACGAGATGAAAATCCAGGGGGTTCGGGCGTATGCCTGACCCACATCCCTGCACAACGATCGACCCGGTCGCATCGCTCTGAAAGATATCTAGTGACATCTTCGAACGTACTCTTGAAGTGAACAACAGCGGCTCAAAACTCAAGAAACTCTTCCTTATTATTTCCAATAGATTGCAATTTAAATAAACTTCTGCATTAAATTTCTTATCTCGAACGATTGGAAATCGTGTTTGGATGCCTTCAAGTTCTTAAAGTGATCGTTTATCGAAGAAAAATTCTCCTGCAATGAAAATAGATGGAATAGAATTAAAGAAAATAGAAGTAAGTAGATGGAGATATATGTGTAATTCAAAACAATTACGTTGTGAAAATCAATAGATATGTGCTAGATATAACCTACTTTATTACACATACGTCGTTGAAAATTCCTGGTATAATATGATAAACAAAAAAGATGTCATAGTTGTGTGACATTTGATACTATGATTAGGTAAATTATGATCGAAATCGTATCGACCACGAGAAAGAGTTTTCTGCTGTAATGGAGCCACGTGTATGTGCCCAGTCTGATGGAAATTTATTGAACATTCGCAGTATACCGGATAATATCGCTGGCAATTTTGCTCCGTGGCTTACCAATTATTTCCACCCTTTACTTTACTCGTGATTTATGGACGGTGCATATTATTATTTGCGAGAGAAAAATCTGAAAAATATTTTGGCGGGAAAGATGATAAAATTACTTTCATTATTAGAGTACCGATGTATATAGTAGTATCGATGTATATAAGATGTACGTAATTAGCATAAAATAATCGACGTACTTCGTCGACGTACGTTCATATGAGAAAAAATATTTCTTACAATATGAGTCACCCTGTATAGTACGAATTGAATAGCCACCTAAATGTTTCGAAAAATTCCATTTCGTTCGCATGAATAAAAGATGGCTCCGGAAGGCCCACGCGAATCGATCAATTTAATCGAATTAATCGATTGACCGTTCGAGAGATACAGAAGCTGCTAAGCTCACGCATATCTTTATCTCGTGTGGAGGGTGTGCACCTTGCGTCAATCGTTTACAAATTTGTCGGTCCGGCTGATTGGACGCCTCTTGTCCTTGACATTATTCCTTCTGGATGACGTCCACGCGAACGAACAGTCAACGTGTCAGATAAAATAGAAACAAGGCTTGTGTGTCTGTGTATATACACGCGTGCGCACAAATACCGTGTCAAATGTGTCTGTGGAGAAGAAGAAAGTTCTTGTGTATGGTTGCTTCCGTTTTATAGCCATCGCTGGTTTCGTTCTAACCTACCGGTAGAAAGGGAACACGAGCGCGAAATGGATTTGCCGACCCACGCAAGACTACATGGGATTCGCATTCTCTCCTTCGTACATATTTCTTTTTCCCTCTGTCTTCTTCCCTATCTCCACCGCCGCTCTCTCATGTCTTCTACTTTACGGCACGCGTACGTAATACCGATTCCAACGGAGGTCTGTCAATAATGATTCAGGGGCTGGGCGTGCCTCGCATATGAGAACCGGCCCGAAAATAAACAGGTCGCGCGCAATGCCACACATAGAAGCCTTCAAACGGTGTCCCGATGTATACACGTGTAATGTACCAGAGGGCGCGAGTAGAACAACTGGATAGGATGATCAGTAGGCGTACTGGTGGGGGGAAGGCAGAGATAGACGTACGAATGCAAAGAAACGTGAACTCTGCATACGTTTAGTTTCGTGAAGTGAAGCTGCTCCTTTTCTCGTGGACGTTCTCACTCGAAACATCCGATGGTAATACATCGGGTGAAAAACGACTCGGCTGATGCATGATGCACGGGTGCAGAGATCTCGTTGTATACAAGATTAATGGGACAGCCGTCTTAATGCATTACGGATGGCTATGTAGATCTCTGTACTTCAAAGGTATCTTGAGAGATATTTGCGATAATACCGAACGATTATATCCGTTGTTCCTTCCTCTTTGTTATACTTTCCTCATTTCCACAATAGTGTTCTTATTTTGAAAAGTCTTTTTAGTATTTTCAGATTGCGTTGTTTATAATTTTACACTGAAGAATATACATTACATTAAAATATTTTAGATCTTTTCAGATGCCAATGTATGTTTTGTCAATGTGTGTGTATGTGTGTGTGTGTGAGCTTTTATATAAAACTTGCACAGTTTGCGTTCTACCTACGTTTCAGTTGAAATATTGTATAATACCGATGCAATCCTATTGCATTGCGAATAGTGCTCGTAATGTAGAGCTACGTGAACATAAAACGAATGAGCAGTTATGCTTGGACGTAGACGACATTTAATTCTCTATTAAACTAATCGAGTATGACATTCGTAAAATAACTTGATTTGACTACTCTATAAATCTATCTTCTCTTTCTGTTAATCTCTAAAGAAAATTTTCATTTCGCGACAGTCTATTGGCTGAATCGAATAGCCATTTTATCAATCGATATAATCGTTCGATAATCGTTCGAATGCAGGTGCTTGTGCGTAGTATGGCGCGCGTCGGTACGGCTCCAAATTCGTAAAAAGTATGTGACGTTTGACCGCACTTAACTAAGCAAGATCAGTGAGGGCAAAAGCGTGCAGGAAGGTTAATTCGCTTTGAATTAAAGCGAATCTCCCTTTGCCCCGGTGGATCTTCAATCGAGAGAAAGATAGTGGTATATAACCATTCTCCCAACTGACACCTAACCTCAACCTCGTAAATTCGTCTATTAACTGACTATATCAGAGGAGTGTATATGAATATTATTTGAAAGTAACGAAGTTATTAATTGCTTTTTTGATGAACGTAAACAACCTACGGAAGTAAACAAACAGCATATGATGAAGTCCTGTACGATTCCAGTCCACGAATACCGGTTTACAATGGTGTAGTGGGACGGAGAAAGGTTATCGGGAATGGAAGAAGACAGATGTAAGAGCAATAGAATGAAAGAGTATGATAATATATGAGGAGGGGCGAGAGTTACCGTATTATAATTATAGAGCGAGCGGTGAAAGGGACTTCTATCGGTCGTTCAAAGTGGTGGGGCATGATTGTGATGAGTCGGGGTGCCTTCGTATCGCTTGTAAACTCGTACACCTCGTAGTACGTGTAGTACGAAAAGAAGCTTCGTGCCGTGACGTCAGCACAGTATTTCGGTACGACTGCGTGAAACATCGTTACGAAATCGTGATCGTGATCAATTTATTTCGTTCCGGCGGAAGTGAACGTGTTTGAGAGCGGTGCGAATGTGCTTGTAATTGAATAAGATCAGTGTCGTGCGTAGTCGCAGGATTCGTTTGGTCATCGCAAGTGTAGCGCGTGCAGCAGGTAGCCGGAACGTCGACCGACAGCCATCATTGTTGTCAAGATGGCGTCGAAAGGAAAGCTAGCAACTGAGGTCAGTAACATTTTCTATCTTTTTTGCCCTTGTATACGTACAACGTGGATTCGATGACGATGCAAGTGCAGGATGTTCGAATGAGGCATGCTCGAATCGAGCGTGGTATAAGTGATCTCTAGTTATCGATTACTTCATCGAACTAGCGATCGTCATTAATTGTGTTCGCGCGCTTCGTTCAGTGACAGGCCACGCGTCGCGTTCATGCAAGAACGTCATACTGTCCGGTAAACCACGCCCTTCAGTAGTCATTTTCATAGAATTTTTTATCGATTTTTTTATCGATATATTTCACGATGCGATGTTATTAACGATGATATAGATGTTTAGTGCAGACATTTAAAAGGTATTTAACGAAATGTTTTGTTTTATTTTCCGAGTTTTTCATTAAATAGATCGAGAAGCACTCGAGGTATTTTACATTATTCGTTACTACCTGTTAATATAACCTTTTTATGAGTGAAATCATGCGAATCTACCGGTATGAAAACATTGCACGCGTGTAATTGCATCTGTAAAATATGATTTCTCGTTTACGGCAATAGAAATACGATCTAACCATGAAATCTAGCAATCCGCGGATTGACTTTTATCTTCTCTCTCTTTTTATCACTCCATCTTGGGAAATAATATGCACGTGGCTTTGAGTATACAATACTTGTTTGTTGTTTTCTCACTAGGGATCTTATTAGCGCACGTTAAGTGGTTGATCGATTGTGGATATACACGTGCATAATTAATATCGTGTGGAGATATTTTATATCGTATTGAATTACGATTTCTTGCCGCACGATATTGTATACCACTTATATATTTTCCTTATGTCAACAAAAATAAGTATACGTTCAAAGTAGCAACATACTTAGTTTCGCCTGATTATTGAATTCCATGGACTGTTGTGACGTTATTAAAACATCAAAGGTCGTGTTTTTATTTACACAGTTGTACCTCATAGGGAAGTTATAGTTTATTAACTATAGGTAAAATATTTTATTTTGACAAATATTTAAAAAGCTGGAATATATACTAATGCAAGTGTAATTGTTTCTCTTTCGAAATAAAATTATGTATAATATGTATCGTGGGTAAATACATTCAAGTAAATATATGTCAAAATAGTGTTAAGCTTTTTTATTCTCTGAATTTATCATTGACTATTCTTATCAATAAGAAAGGAATTTATTGAATCGAACTATAAGGTATAAACAATGTCGATCATTTTTATTTTAACGTTTAATTTATAATTTTACAAAAAAAAAATATATATATATAATAGAAATGAAAATGCATATTTTTTTATTATATATTTTATTTTTCTTGTATTTATAACGAGTTCAATTTTTCATCTCGAGAGTTTGATTTTGATGTTTATTAGAGTAAATAATGTCGTTTAATTAACCTAACAATTTAAAATTCACTATCACTGCAACTGTTATCGTGATGTAATTTGCTTCGTGATAATAGTAAATTTGTAGTTAAATATTTGTTTACAATTATTTGTTTAACCGATATAATTGAAAGATAACCATTTTTTCGTAAGATACGTATGTCAAGGTCTGAAATATTCGTGAAGCAAGCCGTTCTATTGGAAGATATGATGGGCGATAAAATCCCCTAGGAAATGTGTAGTTTACATTCTAATCCCTTTCTACCAAAAGTTCGTAACCGATGACTGTAGACGAACATTTTTCTACCATCTCGTTTCCCAATCTATAACCGGGTCTATGGCGGGCCGTCAAAAATTGTTCGAAATAATAAATATATTTTCTAATAATCGTTCAAGGTCGAAGTTATTATTTTATTTCAATATTTTTCATTATCGGGACACGTCAAATCGATAATATAAATTTCAATAACAATTTCCTTATACGGTATATTTTTGGATCTGAATAGAGTTTGTTCGAGGTTTCCTATTTTGGCAAGTTGCCATTTGTCGAACGTGGAAAGCAGCTTTATTTTTACATAGTACGATATTTGACCTCGGTTTCGGGGATCCGTATAAAAATCGTGTATATAGGGAAGCCTACAATGAATTGGTGCCTTTTGGAAAAAATAGCAACAATGCCAATTAACCACGCGAATAGCTTTGTTCCGCGACCTCGATGCAAAATAGGCGATACAAAATGCGACTGAGATTATTTCATTCATTAAAAAGTACAATGACCACGTAGATGTTTTTGTCGAAGGTCGTTGATCTTAACCACTGTCGATTGTTTCCTATAATAGCGATGACGAGATTGCGTGACCACGTTTCTTTTTATTTACTGTTGTCATTAATATTTCTACCTGTTGAATTTGCATTACGTTTTGTAAAATCATTTAAAACATACTACGAGTCTCATTAAATATTTCAAAGGGAAATATAATTTCGTTGTAATTTAATTTTCAATATTCGTAATTTTAATATTCCATATTGTTTATATCATTCGTAATATTAATAGAAAATAAAGTATTTTAATCGTATAATATAGAGCTTGAACGTGGGTGATTAATTAAATATTCAGTTCGTCGTGAAAATTTGAATGCAACATCGAAAACACGGCCCTGGCCGGGTAAGTGATTTGCGAAGCGACCGCTAGGTGGCAGCAGATGGCCGTCCAGAGAGCAATGCGGTAACTTGTGACAGACACGTTAGTCTGGTGTTTCTCTCCTCTTTTTTTCTCGTTCCTCGATCGCCCCTCTTTGTCGTTCTCGTCTCACCTTCGACGCTAATTTGAACGATATGGTTCGCGCTTATTATCGCTAAATTAGCCATTATGTCGTTATTTTAACGAGTCGATGTGTGTCAGGGGGCCGTGCACACGCTTCCAGTGTGTCCACTGTATTTCCTCGTTCAATTTCTCTTCTGCTTGTTCGACATCGTGATCGTGACACGACCAGTCTTTGAAAAATATTCCCAGTGATCTGTAACGTCTCGCAGCACGTTATTGCATCGCTTCCTGGTCGCCCAAGTATTTACCATCGAACAGTTATTTTCTGAAGTCACGAACACGATTGTTACAATTTCCTTTTAGGTTATTCCAACGACAGGGTTAGTTCGATCAATGATCAGATGGCGCTGACGTCATTACGCGAAGTTTGTTAATAACGTTTGTTTCGATTATCGTTATATCGTTGTCCTGACTCCAGTAGTATCGTATACGTCATAAAAATCTATTTTCGTCCTGTCGTCATCTCAAGAAATAAGCAGAAACTAGATTGACCTTGTCTTCTCGTGATTCGGCTACTGTTGCACCGTTATGCAGTTTAATTCGAAGCGAAACAGAAGTTCGCACGTGCAGCGTGTAAATGTATATGATTTCATCAATATACGCAATAGATATACGTATATCGATACACCAAAATTAATTTCTAATCAAATTTTATTTCATCGTTCGTATATATCGATATATTTTAAATCTTCGATTAAACAAATACTTAATAAAAATTCAAATCACGATACTTAATAACTGTCGTAATATTTTCCTGTCACGAATCCACACTCCGACGAGATATCAGTACCGTCTTACTCGAAAGATGGCGCAATATTGGCGCGCTCGTGATAATTCGCTCAAGGACGAATCGAAAAGATAATACACCGAAATATATTTTTTGAAATTCCGCATTTATTATGCAGCTTTACGTACATCGGTATCCATCGCGTCTCTTGTTTAATAATTCAATAGAAATTCAATCAACGCGTTCTAACTGTTGCCAGTTACGGCGCTTCGATCGATCCTAAAGCCCCATTCACACTGTTGCGGTTCTAACCGATTCTCCGTGCCTCTAATATCACGGTCTCCCGTATACATTTATTACAGCGAATCTCAACCCGTGCATCCTTGAAAATACAAATCTCTCACCGGAACTCGTATCGTACGAATATATGTACCATTGCAACCATGAAAATTAATCACCTTTCTCGATTCACACCGAATTTACACCGTCAAAAGTCTCATAAAGAACCATCCCATCTGCGTGTATTTTTTTTCACGACTTAGAAATTTTCTCTAGACGAACGTTACCGCTGTTGACATCCACGATGATCGTTCCTAGGTTATAGTACTAGTACAAGCGAATCGACGTGTCACTGTACGAAGAGAGCTACCGCTGTCTACGTTAAAGCTGCCACGCCTTCCAGATTTACGTTACGAGCTCGGTGTCTGTTTCCACGTGGAAACCGGCAGTTTCCAAAGCGGGGACCGGGTCCCACTGGATTTCGGCTCGGTTTATCGGCGGTGGAGGACCGTTGATGCGGATTCGGGGATACACTTTTGCGAAGGATATCCGATTCGAGGTCAGACCCGTGACAGTGAAGCGGCCAGATTCGTCTCGCGAGATCTGGCTCGATCCAGCTGTTTTAATGGTGAACTTCCGCGAGACGACGCGAGCGAGGGGTCAGCCCACGCGGCCAGGGGGCATAATTCCTGGGAAGGAAACCGCCCTGTATATTGGCCCTTTTAAACTTCTCTGTCGTCTAATTCGCTCTCGCATCCGCGCGCGACGTTGCTTCTTGATTATTTAAATGCCGGCCACGCTCTGTTTTTTCCTCTCGCGCCGGCACCCCTCGTGTTTACCACGCTTGTTGCGCGCAAAATGGCACCCGATCTAGGGGAAATTCACCTATCGGGATCTCTATAATGCGTTCTTCTTACGATCGCGTTCGAATTTTGTTTTATCCTACGTCTCGAGTGATTTAATTTTCGAATTTGTTTAGATAGTAATTTCGATGTTTGCTCTTCGTTGTTTAGTTTTATTTGAGGTTAATTTCATTCGCGGGTGTGCTGGGTGGATGGCACCCGATCTAGGGGAAATTCACCTATCGGAATTTCTATAATGCGTTGTTCTTACGATCGCGTTCGAATTTTGTTTTATCCTACGTCTCGAGTGATTTAATTTTCGAATTTGTTTAAATAGTAATTTCGTTTTTTGCTCTTCTTTGTTCAGTTTTATTTGAGGTTAATTTCATTCGCGGGTATATAGGGTGGACCATTTAAGTCGACACAGAGGGTGATATTACG